ATTTTAGCAATCACAAGAGTTTTGTTGATGTCATCACATTTTTGATGAAATACTGTTGCATTTAAACCATCTCTACTACTATATAAGCTTAAATTTATATTTGATATCAGTCAATGAAATATATGTTGTTGGGCTTTTTCTATCAATCCAGCTTGCAAAAAGCAATGTAATCTTTTGATTGATAATGAATTGTTCAATTTTTGAAATTCTGGATGATAATAAATTTAAAGATGGTTGATCTTCAGGAACAATATAATAATTTAAAATTTTTAACCATAATTCCTTTGGGAAAAGCAATTGGTATGGCACAACTTTTGAAGAAATCTCTATTAGAAATATCCTTGAATCAAATTAAATAAACGAATTCTTTTAAAGTGTTTCCTAAATGAGTGAAATTTTGAATTAACCAACAGTCAACATTGTTATTAACACCTAGGTGTTTTGCCAATCCCCATTTAAGAATATTTCTATTTCGTCAACAACTAAATCATCCCTTTTAAGAATTTCTAATAAAATTTGTTTTTCAAATGAATCATATTCCGTTGACTTGAATAATTTTTCACAATTGGTACAAATTTCTTTTAAGCAAATATTTTTTAGTTTGTCAAATTTGCTGTTTGAATAAATTAATTGAAGAATTTTGATTGGATTTTCTTTGATATATTCCTTTTTATTATTAATAAAGTATTTCATAGTATATTTGTGAAGTGATTCAAGGTCAAAATCATTACAGTATTCACTTGGACTTAAATTCCTTTTTACAAAATTTTGTTAATAATGGTAAATAATAAATAGGATAAAAAAAGAGTATAAATATTAGTCATATATCATATATCATATATACAAAAATAAATGTTTGATGTTGGAGTTCGAAAGTATGATTATTTTTTTTACTGAATAGTACAAGTAGTGGTAATAACCACCACCATTCTTATCATGAACACTTGCTCGTGAATGACACCAATATCCTCTGTTTTTCTTCTTTTTATGTTATGTCTATAATACATTTTTTTTATATTTTTAAGTAATTTTTAAAAAAAGGGAAAAAAATAAAAAGCAAGCAAAAATGTGTATATACTATTTTTGTTTGTATTGCAGTCAGGATTATTCCCCGAAATGGAATTTCCTTAAAAGTAGGGATCTACGGAATAGAAAAAATTCCAGAAAATTCTTTTTGATCAGCAATTTTATTTTATTACAGTCAAGTATTTTACCAAATTTGGAAATACTAAATGCTGTAATGATCGATGGTATGAAAAATTCTAGAAGAAATTCTGATTGGCTAAATTCAATCAGGGATAATACCCTGTAATG